ATTCAGTCTGACAGGAAACTATTGGAATAGTATTCATCATGCACGTGCGGCTTCTGCGCCTCCCGCTTGGTTAGTCTCCTATGTACCAGCAGGTCCACGTTGTAGGCGGTGTGGACGATATCGTTGAAAGATCTCGCAGAGATATACACAGGCACGCAGAGGAATGGCTTTCTCCTCAGACCCAGGGAAATCCGCTTTGACATTGTCCACCTTTTCGCTCCTGCTGAAGGCCGATGAATGGGAGAGAGTATGCGCCGAGTAAAAGAGTGTTGTGAAGGAGGAGAAGCGAGACAGCGGAGGGAGACAGTAAAAAAGATTTAGTCGCAAAATGGCGGCCAATACAGTAAAGCCTTTTCTACTGTCGTAAAAGGCCCGCGGCATGTTCACATGTTGTATAGCGACCATCGGCTGAGGAGATGCGGAAGAGTGAAGGAGCTGGGAAAAGAGAAAGGTAATCTTAAAGGTACACATTCGTTGTTCACGATTTGCGTTCAGCGTAACAGGAGTCATAAAAGAATGATAAGCATCACCATGCAAGGAAACAGAAGAAAGAACGGGAGGTGCGCCTTCCAAAATCGACGCGCGCTAACGTAGCGGCCGTGTAGGGCCATTCCAATCGCAACGCGCACCATACCCATGTGCTGCTGCTTCAGCTGCTGCCGGTTCATCGAGTCCGCCGCAAAAACGTGGCAGTTGTTCGTGAAAAAGTTGTAGGTCTCGTTCTGGCAGAAGTGTGCCTTGGCGCTGGCAACTCCCTCGTCGTACGCCGCGATTTCACTCCTGACGGCGGCCCCGTTGACAGCCGTGTCACCCTGGCTTGGATTGTAGAAGGAGGGAACGTAGTCCTTCGACAAATCCCAGTACTTCACCGGCACCCCAAACAGCATATGATCGACCCCGATGCGGTAGGAGCCCTGGAAGTCGTAGATGCGGCCCTGACTGTCGCAGATGGCGACGTGGCCGATGAAGGGGCACACCCACGATAGCAGGGGGATGGGTGCCCAGACGATGCAGAAGGGGTAGTGCTCGCGTTGGATGTCGATGACAGGTGGGAGCGGCACCGTGAGATCGGCCACCGGAGATGACTTGTTGGACATTCCACCGCTTTCAAGAAAAGTAATTCCACTAATGAATAACGAGGACGTACCTCGCAGCGTGAAGAAGAGAAAGGAGCGACGAGAAAAGCAGCGTTCACGTCAAGTGTAAGTGCGAGAACAAAAAACCAAAGCACAGATCCGTTTGAGTTCTTTAAAAAACAAGCCAACCACGACGCTGTGAGGAGTTGTGAGGGAGAAAGGATGGCAGAGGAATAGAGAGGAAGAATGACGGAGAAGGGAAGTTATTCCGCTCCACATTGTGTTGGTGGCCGCCTGCAAGTTCTTCATGATCGAACGTGTGGAGGCAGGCAGCGATGCATCGAATGGACCTGCGACCTCAAACGTGAGTGTAGCCGCTGTTCCTCTGAGCTACGACACAATCAACGAGTCATTTGTGTGGATCGTTGTTCACTTACCTCTGTTTATGTGTGTGAGGCAAATATGCAGGTTCGTCTTTTCGCTTTTTAACCCCTCTCGTGTTTCACGTTGACGCCAAAGCGTCGTCGTCCTCAACACCACCAGCCGCAGCGGCAGCCGCGGCAAGGTTGGCCTCATTCCTCTCCGCCAGGAGCTGCACACGTGTCAGCGGGAAGAGACGGTCTGGCACGCCGCTGAAGTAACCGTCCATCCAGAGCATGAAGCGTGTCGCGTAGCTGGACGGGTCAATAATCGTCGGGTCCCGCCGACCATAGCCAAGCACCGTGTCCAGCCCTGACTTCATCTTTGACTCGAACACCTTGGCGGAGGAGTAGGGATGCAGGAAGTCGATCATGCCGACGTACAGGTTCCCGCCGCCCTTCGCGTCGACCTCGCCCCCGACGGAGGCCATGAGCGAGTAGTCCATGATGCCACTGTCGCACAGGAGCTGGGTGTCACGGGACAGGTGATCCATCAACAGACTCTTCGCCTCCGGCGCGCAGAAGAAGAAGTCGCCGTGCCGCAGCCGCTCCTGCACCAGATCCACGTCCAGCCGCACCGCCGCAGTGTGCTCCGTCGTGCGGTTGCGCTGGCTGCCTTTGAGGTCCCACGTTTCGCGCACCGGCCGCTGAAAGAGGAGCTGCTCCGCCACCATGAAGCAGTGCGCACCGTCGGGCAGGAAGCTGCGCAACGGCTGCTGCTGTTGCGGTGGAAGCGCGGCGTCGCCGGCCGTGGGCTGTGCCGCCGACCGACTGCGCGAGCCTTGGACGTGCACAACATACAGGCCCAGAAGCTTGCCCAGCGTGGACTGCCTAGAGGAAAAGTTTTGTGAAGAGGCAGAAGACGTAGAGGATGGGGAAGGCGAGTAGTAGTCTGCCATGCGGGCAAAGTATCGCGGTGCCCACTCTTTGAAGTAGCGCAACTCCATCGGCTTTATACACTTCAGCAAAAAACGTTCGTCCTCCGTGATGAAGAAGCGCGACTGCGACTTGCCACCATCGGTGATGTACGGACGAGAGCGCAGGAGGGCCGCGGGGAAGTCAAGTGGGGCGCCGTCGGTGTACAGGACGTGCAGCGCCGCAAACCCATGTGGGAAGAGTACCTCCACTGTAATGTTGAGTTCGCCTCCATCGGAGCCGCTGCCACCGCCACCGCCACCGCTGCTGCCTCCCCCTCCTCCACCCAGTCCCCTGAGGGCACTTGCCTCCACAATCGCGTTCACAGTACTCACGGCACCGCTGCCAATGCTGCTCGCCACACCACCACCACCACCACCCGCATTGCCTGATCTGTTGAGGGGAAGAACAGGTTTGTAGCCGCGAAGACTGCACGCGAGGGAGACCGGACGGGCTGCATCCATCTTGCCGCAGCGCCGGAGTATGTCCAGCGCTTCCGCACGCGTCAACGCTGCGGTAGACTGCAGTTGTTGATCGTATGGTATGGGGGAGGAGTCTCTTGTGTGCGTAGATGACGTGGCGGAGCTGCTCCTGGGGTCGTGCATCAGTGGGGATTCCGTATGCACAGCAAAGTTAACGTGCGGGTTGCCTTGTGCTGCGGCTGGTGTGAGAGAGCCGTGGAGCGGAGGAACTTTTGCGTCGCGTGCAGCTACTGGACTGGATGGTGAGGCGGGAGACGCCGCCGTGACACCGCCGTAGAGCAGCTCCAGCGCTACTGCAAGCACACTCGTCGGCTCGCCAAGCCGAATCCACTGGGCTCGTCCTGGGTGAAAATAGCAGTTCTCCAAGCTGCGAAGAACGCCGCGGTCTGCTGATAAGTTCAACGTCGCGGCCACGTCAGAGCCGTCGTGAGAAGTCGTTGTCGTCGCGGGTGAGGCGGGTGCTGCTTTCGCGCACGCCGTCCTGCGCGCCTCCACCTGCCAATCGCGGTAGTCCGACATGAGCGCTGGGATAAGACGCTGTCGTAAGGAGCGGAGAAACATTGTCGCTGCCGCCTCTCCGCGTGACCGTGACTCGTGAAGTGCCTCCCACGCGAGCTTCACTTGTTCGCAGAGGTGACGAAACAACGTTGTGGACCTACTTGCTGGGGCTGACGGCGGCGGTGGAGCGTTCACAGCACCCGGCGTCTTATCGGAGTCCGTCAGTTTCGGTAGTTGGTCTGGCGCTGTGCTCTCTGGGAAGCTTGCCAAGAAGGAGCGAAAGCCGTCGAGGGTCTCCTCCAGTTCATCGGCGTCGTGAAGAGCGTACCACGCATCCGCCGTCGACGCCTCGTCTGGCAGCCCAGCATCAGAACACAACGGAGGAGATGGCAAGACGGCGGGCGGATACTGAATCTGCAGGAGCGGAACAGAATCCACGACAAGTGTCACCGTGTCTTTGTTCATAGTTGTCACGGCGGCGCCGAGACCGATGCCACCGACCGGAGCCGCACTTGGTAATGAACACACATCGGGATGGAAAGAAAAGACCAGACGCAGACGCTGCTGTGGGAGCGACAGGGAGGCAGAGAGCCGCGGCATCCACCCGTAGAGCACCCACTCCAAAAAGGCTGCGGTGGAGAAGTTCAGTAGATGAGGCGAGCAGAGTGGCACGTGGACGTCTACGATGGGTGCTGTCTCGGACACCGTAGCCCCGGCTGTGCCTCCGTGCCCAGAGGCAGCTTCACTACAAATTTGGAGTGAGACGTAGCCTTTTATGAATTTCAACCATGTGCTAGTGGCTGCTGCTGCGTCTGTCGTCTCACCTCGCGCACAGGCGCGGGTCGCATTCTGCCGCACCGCTGTCAGCTGAAAAGTGACGGTTTGTGCGTCTTCCAAGGCACGATTCGATGCAGTCTGCGGGGTGCGGGCAGCCTCTCCCGGCAGAGCACCACTACTCCTACTGCTGCCATCGCTGCTGTTCAGCATGACAGGGCCTCGCGAAGCAGCCCGCGTCACCGTCACGCGCACGCGGTGACCGCCGTGCAGGTACAGCAGCTGCGATTCCGCTGATGTGCAGCGAGAAAAGAGGAAGACGCAAAGGCTGTCGTCCGCATGTCCGTAAAAGGTCAAGGCAACTTTCTGCTGCACCACCGCGTAGGTGTGGGCAGCGGAGGACTCGGCTTGGGGGAGAGACGGCTGCGTGAGCGCGGGAGTCCCCAGTTTGGAGGGATGCAGTCCTGCCAAGTCCGTGCGGGACGCCCCGGCCGACGACGCGTGCGATGCAGGCGAAGAGACATCCCCCGTGAGGTCGGAGCTCTGTGCTCGCGTTAACGTTCTCGTCATGTTGGACGCCGCCGCAGTGGCAGCGGCAGACGCAGAAGAAGCTGAAGAGACACCGACGGTGCCTTTTATTGACCCACTGGGCGTAGCGGCACTGTTGCTGCTCTCAAAGAGGTGATTCATCAGCACAACGTTCAGCACAACGGTGTCGCGGACGAGGCTGAGCGGTGCATCAGCGCGTTGACAGGCAGAAAGGACTTCCGGTGGGTATTGACATCCGCTGTTGAGCGTGAGGCGGGAGGTCGTCGCTGCGGTCGCCTTCGAGTGGACCACTGCGGCGGCGAGGCCAGTGGCGAAGGAAGAGGTGGCGCCAGATGAGGAGTGCAGAAGCGTGCGCACCCAATGAGACTGCATCGCCGCGTGGTAGGCGGCGGTGATCGCCTCTCTGCCAAGTTGCTCCAACGCGTTCCATTGATGCTGCGTTGCACCTCCTCGGTCAGCATTACTTGTGTTTTTGCTGCTGCTGCTGCTGCTCTTTGCCGAGGCGATCACGCCCGAGCCACGAAACACCAGCGTGTGGAAGCAGACGTCGCTGAATCCGGTAAACGCACAAAAGAGCTCCTCCTCCGCCAACTCTAACACTTCAAAGCGCGCGCACTCGCCCATCGGCGTGGTCGACGCGAGATCGGCCACGCCGACGTACTGCAGATCCGCAATGATGTCCGCGTGCAGGCACCAGGACAGCTGCACGAGGAAGTCGCGGCCGACGTGCAGCAGCAAACGCATGTGACTCTCTGTTTCGATCCGCTCGCGTAGGTAGTGGTGCATGCCGCCTTCCACTACGATGACATCCGGGTTCCACACAGCGAGACGCTGAAAGAGTTTATCCAGGTGCCCGCTGTAGGAGCGCACGTAGTCGACGAGGTCTTCAGCTGGTTGCACCGGGTGGGAAAGGTGGCCGGCGAGGAGCAATATACGAGGGTGGTTGCAGGCCGTCATCACACGCTTGGAGGGCAGACGCAGCGCACAAATAAGCCCCGGGTAGACGATGCACTGCGGCGGGAGGGCGGGACACGGAACACAAAAGAGAGCAACGTGCTCGTCGATCGTGGAGCCGAGAGCAACGGTGGTCTGCTGCACCACGTGCCACGCAACGGCGGCGAGGTGTTGGCTGAGATGACTCACACCGTTTTCTGGGATCAACGCCTCTACCGAGCGGCAGATGCGCGACAAAATGTGTGCCGTGCACGCAGCGCCGTACGCGTCAAGAAACGCCGTCTCCTCCACCGACAACTGAGCGTCCTCATGAACAGCTGCGCTGCCGTGGCGGACCCAATCGGTTCCGTTATCGGCAGCCACCGTAGGACTTTTCGTTTCCTGCACACAAAAGAGAGCGGTGAAGGTGACCGGGTCCGTAAGCACGTGCACTACTGCTCCTGGCGTAGTCAACGTAAAGGGTGCACCGCCGAGCTCACCGCTGGTGGATAGCTTCCTCTGCTCCTTGATCCTCATCGCTGCCTGATGGGCGGCCCACCAGTCCGCCATGCTTGCCGCTACGCGGGGCTGCACTCGTCCGATCGAGTACGTCACCTCGCGCTCCTCCGCTGTTTCTTCGTGCCGCACCGCTCGCCAAGACCACTTTTCACCTCCGTTCTCTTCAACGCCTTGTCTCTGTTGATTCTGCCGCGGAGACGCGTCGACGTGGGGCGGAGGAGATGCGGCGGCTGCCTTCAAGGAAGGCACATGCGGTTCGTTGGGGAACGCTAGCGTCGCTCTTTGAGAGGGCGACGTCGGCGGCGGGGAAGCGGTCGCGGTGGCGTCAGTAGCAGGAGAAACAGAAATAGCAAGAGGCTGCGACGTTTTGACGTTGGCATTGTTGTGGATGGAAGGTGCGCGGAACTCCAAACGGGACGCGGACGACTCCCTCTCCGCGTTCTCCAGAATTGTGGCAGCACAGCGGCGGCACATGCGAGTCGACAGCTCCGCCTGCACGTCCTCGTCTACAGCGCTCGACAGCAGTGAGCCAGGCGAAGAAGGCGAAGAGGAGAGAGCGGCCGTGGTAACCTTTTCTGTTGAAATGCGAGACGGCCGTGTTGGAGACGGCGCCAACCACTCGTACATGTTGTCCATGAGGCTTTGCGACGCTGCAGTGCCCTGGGCGCTGTAGAGGCATTCATAACAAAAGACCTGGCCACAACGCCGGCAGTGATGGCGGCGGCGGAACATGGTGAACTTCTCACCACACCGGCGGCATCGCAGCGCGTACTTGTCCTCCACCCACAGCGAGCGATCGGTTGACATGATGAAGCCCAACGAGTCGATGCAGAAGAAACGATAAGAAGTTTCGGATTGTTGCAGGAATGCGCCAGCGAGATGGAAGAGTCGAGAACAACGCGACAACAAGACCTCTCTCTCTCTCTATATATATACAGGAATCCCGCGTTTAGCAACGAAAGCACATGATCAAAGCAAATCAAAAAAAAAAGAAAACTGCAGCGTCGCTTTCGTATCAGTTTCGCTCTGCCACCACGCATGTGTGTGTGTGTGTGTTTGTGTGTTGTCATGAGAGTGGGAAACCTCCATCGGTAATTCACGAACAGGGATGAAAAAAGAGGAGGCATTTTGTTGAACAGCTCGAGGAGGTGTGGCCCCTGAAGAGGCACTGGATGTGCAGTGCACCGAATTCTGTAGCACGCATGACGTCAAGAGATAACATCGAGGCCCGTGACTATCTTTAACGTACGATACACATATTTCGTCATCCGTGCCGCTCCCAACGGAAAGGGGTAAGCAGCGCGCAGCTGAAGTAGCCGCCTCATGGCGTTGCGAGGCCCGTGGAGTTCACCCCCCTCCATCGCCCAAGCGCGACTCTTCCACATCGGCGTGGATTTCGTGCATGCTTCAGGCGAACACCATCTGTAATCAACAAGTAAAATGTTAAAGGAAAAGAAACACGAGAAAACTAAAAAAAAAACAAGAGCTCATGTCAAAGAGACGAGTCGCGGCGCGCTGACGTAGACAAACAAAACAAACGAAGCCCCCTCATCATAGACCCACTAAAGGGACAGCACCACCTACGTGCAAAGCGATGGGTCATCGACGGCTTCCTCGAGACCGCATCGCATGCGTGACGACGTGGGCACCAAACACCACAACAGTCCTTCACTTTCTCCTTTTGCCTGTAAAGGAGAGGAGGGAAGGAGAGACAGAAAGAAACGCTACGTAAACTACGTAGAGGAGATATTCAAAGAGCAAAATCCACAAGTGAAAGCGCAGACGTAAAACAAAGAGAAAAAAAAGAGATATGTGTGGTGTGATGCCGCAATGTGCACGGCAGCAAAATACGAGACCTCTACCAAAAAAAAAAAGCAACTTTCGATAAAAAACAAACGGTGTAAACGAATAGGTGCAAAGGATTGAGGGAGAGACGCAGCAGCTCGTTTTGTTTTCTCTCCTGCTGCGGCACCCCTCAACTACGGCTTGCACATTTCTTTTCTTCTCTCACACCTGAAAGTTTCAAACTTCAGTACTTTCTTTTCGTGTATGTATTTCGAGCAGTTGGGGGTGTAACGCTTCGAATAGTGTTCATGTTTCTGTGCTGTCTTCAGTTTTGTTGTTACGTGTTAAATCGATCGTCACAGTAGCTGGCCACCGCAAACGCTGCGCAGAGGAAGCCAAAGATCAAGGGAGAGTTTCCTTTTGTCTGTCCTTTTCTTCCTTCTAAGAAATCGTAGAGGCGCAAAGAGACAACAGAGGCGACGACTGCACAGCTTGCCAAGAAAAAAAAAAAGGTTGAAGACGACAACAAAAAAAGGGTTTGGAAATATGAATACAAAGATAGAAAAAAGAAAAGAGATATAAACTACATGACAAGTCATTGCTGTGTCTTCCCCTCTGTCCTAGACAGCAGAAGGATTCTTTTTACCAATAAGCAACACTTTACGCCAGCGTCTCCTCGATCAGCTTCTTCTCCTCCACCACGTGCACGGAGCCGTAACCGGTGGACGGCGACGCCACGGCGGGACGGCTGATCACACCAATGCGGGCCTGCTTCATGCCGAGCTTACGCAGAAGGCTGTTCATGCGGGGGCGCATGTGGGTCCACATGCCCATGTTGCGCGGCTCCTCCTGCAACCAGACGAACTCCGTCTCGGGGTTGCGCTGCGCGTACGTTTCCATCACATCCGCCACCTGCTCCCACGGGAAGGGTGCGAGCTGCTCAAGGGTGACGAGCACCACATCGCCGTGCACGCCAGGATTCTCCTTCTGCATCGCGGCGCGGGCGTCGTTGACGATGCTCTCGATTTGACCGGAGCAGAAGACCACCTTGCGCGCGACGACATCCGGCGTTGGCGCGGTGTCGAGGACGGCCTTGAAGAAGGACCCCTTCGCCATATCCGCTAGCGCCGACAGGTTCGGTGCACGCAAGCGGGCCTTGGAGAAGAAGTTCACCAGCGGCTTCGAGAACTCGCGAAGGCCCTGGCGGCGCAGGATGTGGAAGTAGTTGGCCGGCGTGCTCGGGTACGTCAGCTGCCAGTTGTGGCGCCGAACGCGGATCTCCAGCGCCTGGTCGTTCGAGAACTTGCGGAAGTCGGCGGGCACGCAGTCCGCGTCGTCGCTGAGTTGCAAGAAGCGTTCAATACGCGCCGAGCTGTGCTCCGGACCGGCGCCGGAGTAGCCGTGCGGCAATGACAGGATCAGGCTGCTGTGCTCGTTCCACTTCTCCTCGCAGCAGCCGAGGAACTGATCGAAGATGACCTGCGCGCCGTTCGCGAAGTCGCCGAACTGCGCCTCCCACATGGTGAGGCACTTGGTGTTCTCCATGTTGTAGCCCATCTCGAAACCGCACACGCCCAACTCTGAGAGGGAGCTGTTCGAAATCGTGATGAGAGCCTGCGTGGGCGACACCGTCTTCACAGGGTAGTACTTCAGGTTCGTCTTGCTATCTGTGACGGCTGCGTGACGCTGCGTGAAGGTGCCACGCTCGACGTCCTCGCCAGTGAGGCGGATTGGGATGCCCCGCATCGACAGCGTCGCAAAGGCCATCAGCTCCGCCTGGCACCACTCGATGGCGTCGCCGTGTTCCGTGCCCTTCTTGCGCGCCGCGTAGGTACGCTCCACCACCGGGTGCGCCTTCTGTATCCCCTTCGGCACCGTGGCGAGGTGGATGCCGACAGAACGGAGGGTGTTGATGTCGACGCCGGTGTCCACGGCCGGTACGGGGGCCGGCACAAGCGCCGCCAGGATCTTCGCGTTGGACAGGTCCGAAGAGGTGTTCTCGCTCTCGGGGTCGAAGGAGGGGAGCACCTTTACGAAGTCCTGCACGCTGTTCATGCGGTCGTAGGCCTGCCGCAGCATCGCGTCCCACTCCTTGTCCTTCGCGTCCGCCTCCTCCTTGGTGATCACGCCGTCTTCGATGAGCGTCTTGGTGTAGATGTCCACCAGACGGGGATGGTGGCGGATCTGCTCGTACAGCTGCGGCTGCGTGAAGTCTGGTAGGTCGGCCTCGTTGTGTCCGTTACGGCGGTAGCAGACGAGGTCGATGATGATGTCGCGGTGGAAGTGCTGACGGAACCGGGCCGCCAGCTTCGCCGCCTTCACGCACGCGTCCACGTCGTCGCCGTTTACGTGCAACACAGGCGCGTTGTTCACCTTGGAGAGGTCTGTGCAGTACGCACTCGCGCGCGAGTCCTTCGGGTTAGTGGTGAAGCCGATCTGGTTGTTGATCACCACATGCAAGGCGCCGCCGACGTGGTAGTTCTCCAAATCACTGAACCCCATCGTCTCGTAGCAGGAGCCTTGGCCTGCAAACGAGGCGTCGCCGTGCACGAGAATGGGCAGCACCGTTGTGCACTCCACGTCGTTCGTGTACACCTGCCGTGCATGCGCCTTGCCCAGCACGAGGGAGTTGACCGCCTCCAGGTGCGACGGGTTCGGCAGGAGATCGAGTTCCACCGTGTGGTTGTTCGGCAGCGTCACCGACTTGCGCAGGCCGAGGTGGTACTTCACGTCGCCGCTGAGGTGCGCGTCGGCCACCGCGGCGCGGCCCTCGAACTCGTTCAGGATGGCGTGCAGCGACTTGTGAATCACATTCGCGAGCAGGTTGAGGCGGCCGCGGTGGGCCATGCCGATAATCACGCTGTTCACGCCCAGCTCGCTGGCGGTCAGGATGGCCGCGTTCATGGCCGGGATAAAAGCCTCCCCGCCGTCGAGGCCGAAGCGCTGCTGGGTGGAGTACTTCACTTGCAGAAACTTCTCAAAGCCGCAGGCCTTCACGACGTCGTCGTAGTGCTGCCGCCGCTCCTGCACCGGCAGCGGCTGCAGGGAGTTCATGATCTCCTGGCGGAACCAGTTGCGCAGGTCGAAGTAGCCGGAGGACATGAACTCAAACCCGATCGGGCCGCAGTAGAGACGGCGAAGCTGATCCACGATCTCGCCCAGCTTCATCGAGGTGCCTCCACTCACAAAGGTAGCCTCGTGGGTGGCGCCAAAGGTGACGTTGAAGGCCTGCTCGAGGTCCTCCTCTGTGAAGCCGAACTCCTCCGCGGCCAGCGTGCGTGAGCCGAGCACGTGATTATCGGCGCGGTAGCCGTTGATGGGATCTACGTTGGCTATGTGGTGGCCAAAACGCTCGTAGATGCGAATCATCCACGACAGCCGCATGTTGTCGTGCCGCTGCTTCTCTGAGAGCGACTTGGCATCGATGGGACGACTGAAGGTGGACACCACAGGCATCTCGTCGTTGTTGGAGCGCATGGCCTCGAACACGGGCACCCAACTCTGGTCCACCAGCGCGCTGTCCGCCTCGTACTGCCGCATCAGGTTCTCCACGTAGGCCTGATTTTCCGAGCGGACAAGCTGGTCGAACGGGTTCGGCTTGCGGATCGTGTGGGCATCGGTGAATGCACGCACCGCAGAGGCGCGGACGGCCACGCCACTCAACGCACGGCGCATCATTTTATCTTTCCTTTATTTATTGCCGGCTTTCAGACACGCAACTAGAACAATAGAGCTATGAGAAGTGAGCGGGAGCAACTTCACGAGTAATGCTATAGGCGGTGCACCACACAGGCAAACAGGAACGTGAAAATGGATGACTAAGCTACTACGGGGGAAAAAAATAGGAGGTAAAACAATGAGAGAGATAACGGGCCGAACCCAGAACGCGGAGAGCGCTCTGAAACAAAAATCGGGTAGGGAATAGAAAAGAAAAGAGTCAACGCTGGGCGGGGAAAGATCTCCGTGAGCGTTCCTTGTTGGCTTTCAGCAAGATAACAAATATGCTACCGTTCTTCCTATATATATATATATATAATCGGAAATAACCTCAACGACTGCTGCGGACGCACACGTGTTTGAGTTTCATCACGTCAGCACAGGAGGGGAAAGAGGAGAAATGGGGGATAGTAAATGGGAAAACAGAAAAAAAATAGAGCATCCCTCCTTTGTTGTTATAAAGTGCAGGCGTATTCAAAGTGAATGCGCCATCACACATCATTGAGGCTGAAAAACGACTTGCCCAATACCTTGTTTCCCCTCAAGGGGGCAAAAGTCCTTTATTTTGCGGTATCAACATTATGAGAGGCATCATCAATTTGACCGGGTCGGAGTATTTGAGTTATGCGTTGCGTTTCAAAACAACTGCAGAGGCCTTGCAGTAACCATGAACTTCCCGAAAGCACGATGTACGTAGGGTTTGGAAACCTGCCAGCAGCATCTAACCCTCACACACCCTTTATTCGGTCTTGACAAGCGGGCACGCAACGCCACCACCGACAACAAGTGCAAAGGAGTGTGCTGCCCCCCTTTTTTTTCTCAACAAAGACTTAGTCCACATGAATCTTCTTGGAGAGGAACTTATGCAGGGTCTCCGGCGACCACCCCGAGATGCGCAGCGTCACCGCATCCTTTGCCTCGTCATCCACGAGGATGATCTGCGGATACAGAATAGAGTACTTGTCGTTAAAAGAAAGGTGCTCAAAGTAGGGCTGCTCCTTGTAGGTGCGGTAAAACATGCTGAGGGGACTCCTGCTCGACGCCTCTAACATCTGAAAGACATTGCGTCCCTCAATGCGTGCCGCGGTGTACTTGGCGTTTGCTGCGGCTGCGTCGTCGTCGCTGGCAACGCAACACCCTAAGCACTCCTGCTGCAACTCGGTGCTTTGGGTCACCATGAGCAGCTTCTCGCAAGAGGTGCAGCGCAGCACATCCTTGTCGAAACCGAGATCTAAACACTCGGCTTGCGTGCGAGCTGCATGCGCGTGAAGCGTCGACGTCATTAAAGCCCACAACACAATGACTGCTACGAACAGGTAAGAGAGGCGCGTGGGAGGCATTTTCCGTTCTGCTTGGATGAAAAGGCTAGAATGGTTCTCGTTGTTGAACGCTTCTTGTTGATGAGAGATGCCGCCGTGCGCTGCAGCTGTACAGAAGAAAGTACTTCGTATTTCTTTCCTAGTTTTTCCCACGAAGAGAACGAGGAGAGTTCAATGAAGAGAGTAAAAGCGAAATGAGTTGCCAAGGGGAAAACGAAACAAGGATGGTCCGGGAAGGCCATTGAGCACCGCGACCAGCAGCCGGTCACAAATCTATGGTGTGTATCCCTGCAGCGTCAAGACAAACTACTGCAGTGCGTTACACGGACGAGCATGATACAAGGGAGAAACAAACAACAGAAAAAAAAACTCTCACAAAACGAGATGCGCCCCTTATTGAGGTACACACGCCATGACGGAAGAGAAAGCGATGACGATGCTCCATTTCCTTGCAGTGTTAAGGCCTTGCAGTCAACAAATCGCAGCTGCTGCAGACTGTATTTTCTCTTCTTTGTGTGAGAAGCTGTTGGGGGTGTTTTTGACGTAAATTACATGACGAGCCGAACTCTCTAGTACAACAAAAAGCGAAGAAAGACCGTAGCACTTGAGTTACCTCTCCGCCAGTCTGCTGGTTGTTACGACGGTTCCAGGAACTTTCCCCTTTTAGGACTTAAGAAAGAAAGGAAATAGATGGCAAGCACAGGAACCGAGAAACGCAGCGGTTTACTGGACTCCGTCTCTGGAACGGCAACATTTACATACATACATACAACGCGGTAGCTGGTGTACATCGATTCGGAGCTGCAGAACCCAAAGCAGCAGCGGCAACAGCGAATCAAAAAAGATGAAGAAGAAAGAAAGAAACAGCGATTCTCTATGCCACAAAGCCACACAAAGGGGCAAGGAAGGAAATAAGAGTACTAAAGTGCTGACTCACACACACACACACACACACACACACATACCGCTTATTTCTTTGCGGGTTGATTCGCTGCGATGGCTGCAAGGCAGTGCGGGTAGGTAGAGGTGCCATTGACAAGGCGCATGAACTCCTCATAGGTCACACGCGGTGCGACCTTGGGGAACAGCTTGATGGTGAGGGCCGCCAGCTCCTCGTCTGGGATGGAGGTCACCGCCAGTTTCTGCCGCACACACAGCCGGAACTCGTCCGCACCGATGAGGCTGTCCCGGGCGTAGTCGGTAATGGCGTGGAACTCCTTCATGAAGAGCTGACGGCGCTCGTCGTAGAGCTGAAGAAACTGCACCGCGCCGCGGGCGGCCGACGCACTCTCGCGCGCCTGCCGCGCCTTCTCTTCCGCCTCCTTCGGGTCAATCACGAAACTCTGCGTCTCGTGATCGGCGCTCTCCTGGTAGATCGCTTCCCACGTGCGGTCATCGCTGGCCACCGCGTCGCCCTCGGGCAAGATGCGCCCGGCCACCTCCTCGTAACTCACGTACGACTCGTTGTTTTTGTCGAAATAGCGCAGCACCGTCAAAATCTCCTGCTCCGTCACGTCCAGCTTCAGGCGAGACATAATGGAGAGAAAGACTGCCATGTCAAGGCCGCCTTGGCGGTCCTGATCGGCGAGGCGGAAAGCTTCGGCCAACCCAGTCGTGCGACTGCGCAGCATCGCCTGCAGTTTGCGCACCACCTTGTTGATGTCCGAGTGGCTGAACTCCTCCGGGTTGTGCTCCATGTAGTTCAGCGAGTGAGCATCGGAGTTGAGGATCACGAAGGGATGCGCGTTCAAGACGACGCGGGCGCCGACGTAGAAGTCGTCCGCCTGGAAGTTCTTGCCATCCGCCCGGCGCACCTTCTGACGCTGCAGAAACTTGCCGCCCACGATGCCGCTGTTGCGGATCACCGGCTCGAAGATTGCTATCGTGTTGTCCGCCGGGTAGACGGTGAGAACAAAGCGACGTACCTCGTCGTCCGGCTTGCCGTTGTCGAGGCGCGCGAAGAACTTCACGACGGAGTTGGCAAAGCGGTGGCGGCGCAGCTCCTCCCGCTTCTCGGCGTGCTGGGCCAACTTCTCCTCCTCGGAGATCTCACGTCGGGTGGAGCTGGGCGGCATAAACGGCGGCGGCACACAGCCCGGCAGCGGCGTGTAGTCCGTCAAGCCGAACTTTTCGGCCAGGTAGTCCTTCGTAAACTGGTTGTAGTCGTGAATCTTCACTGCACGACCGTAGAGGCTCAGCACATTGCCTATCCGAATATCCTCGTCGTTGTAGTACACCGTGTTCGTGTTCTCCTTGAAGGTGACGGAGCCGAGGGTGGACGAGTCGAAGCGACCGGATGGGTCCGTCGGCTTGGCGATGCGCTGACGGCTGAAGAAGGTCGGAAAGGGATCACGGCCGCTGTTCTGCACGTCCTTCTCCACCAGGGCGATGCTCCCATCACTGAGGAAGTAGTAGAGGGTCAGGAAGTGCTTCGTGCCGTAGAGACTCGCCGTGTCGTCCCACGTGCAGTCGCAGCGGAGCACCTTGCGGTCGTTCTCCAGAAACTGCTGCGTCGCCCGCACCTGGGCCGCGGACAGGGTCGTGTTGAGAGGGCTGGAGGCGGCGATGGAGGGGACGTCGTGCGCCTTCGCCACAGGCCGGGAGCGCATCGTCGCATACGCGTCGCTCGGCACCGGCAGCGCGTCCGGCACCTCCTCGCCGGCCTCCTGCAGAAAATTGCGCGTGAAGGCGTCGGCGTCGTACAGGACATAGGTGCGGCCGTAGAAGGTGATGGACTCGCCCACCTTCAGCTGCGCCGCGGTGATGGGGGTGCCGTCGGGGTTGGGCACAATGTGCCGCTTCAGGTTCTCGGGGAAAGCGAAGCCGGAGTTGTCCTGCTTCGGTTCCGTCACGCTCATCGTGCCGTCCTCCAGGTAGAAGTTCAACACAACCTTGCGCACCCGCTCCGTCTCCAGCGCGCTCTCCGTGACGGGCTCCGTCGCGTAGCCGAAGTAGCGCAGTACGCGGCCAGTCAGGTCCACCCCAGAACCCTGGGCTGCACCGGTGGAAGATGCCGTGTTTACGTAGCTGGCCATCGCTGCTGTGCCTTGCATGCTACTGTTGTTGTTTTCGCCGAGGGTGCGGTCGGCGGGCACGCCATCGACGTACGTCGCGCAGTCTGCGAGGGCGCCGTGAATTTGACGGCGATGGTAGTTGCGACGCATCATCTCCTCACCGCAGGACATGCCGGGCACCATGGGGAGCCGAAATTCCTTCTTCATCTGCTGTGACTGCTGATAAGCCATTGTTTCTTTAGGGGGGAGCGGCAGATATATGTATGTATATATGTATTTCGTAAGAGTAGAACGCGATTTGAACACCAATCACTGATGGATGTACAGACAAACAAATACACTTATAGCGATGTGCAGTTAGTGAGACTGCCGTACGACGACACCGCAAAACGGAAAAGGTCAACGGAGGAGATATGAAGAGAAGGCAAACAGGTGGAGTGCATTTCTTTCTTTTGAAACATGAGCCGGGGTATTGGAGCACCTCAAACGCACGACAACACGCTGATCGGTTACCGGGGGAAGAGGCAGCAGCAACGAAGAGGGTGCCCAGAACACGTGCACGGTTCGATGAAAAGCAAAGAAGAAAAACAGCACTCGAAACGAAGAACGCGAGGGGTGAAAACTCTTGTGTGGCAGCGTGCTTCAACACAGCACGCACGCTATGGTGCCCCACAGTGGTTGAGGGTGATTGATTTCGCTGAAAGTGGCATATAGAAAGAAAACAACAGCACCAGTGACTCTCCTGTGGCCGGTAGAGCTGCTGTCAAGACGCACATAATGGTCTTATTGATCTTCCACAAACCGTCTTTCCCACTTCATTTTCCAAACTCAGGCTCTTCGCTTTCAAAACGGTCCACAGTTGGATGTCCACTATCTATAACAACAATAATAGAGGGAAACAAGGGTCTAGAAATAATGATACATTGGCCACTCAGGCCGTTTTACAGATGTATATATTTTTTTTTCAAGGTTCAAAGAAACATCAATCGAAGAAAAAATACTGAATTTACATCGCTACAAAACAAGAATGCAAATTAATACCCGAGTTACGCCGTTGATCCCCTTCGCTTTCCTCGTGTTCCCTTTCCCTCAATTCTTTCTTCCCCTTTTCCTTCGATATCTGTGTGTGTGTTCGTGGACCTGCTCGACATCCACGAAACTCACAATACTAATAGAAAAGACGACTTTTGTTTGTGCGACTTGGGAGGCCTTTGAATCGTCTGTGTTGCACCGTCAGCGGCATCGGCTGATCCAAAATGCTGCGCGGCGGGACAGCAAACACGCGAAGGCAGTCGTCTGCTAGGCGGACGAGCGACACCCCATTCGCATACCGCACCTCGCGAATCGCGTGAGGCGTGCCCACCTCATTCTTGACCCAGACGCGCATAAACACAAACATGTCGGTTGTGTCCACCATCTGCAGAAGACCGTCATCGTAGCCGATGAAAAGCAGCCGATCCACGGCACTGGCGGCCAGCAGCGTGCACGCAGGAGGCGGGTTCGACCGGGAGGGGCTGCTCCGCGCAGAAGCCTTCACCGGCATCGGGGTAAGCGTCACCTCGTTTCTCGTGTTCGCTACCGCCGTCGACGCACACACAGTGACGGCGCCATCGCGATTAACACGGTACCGCTCCTTCCCGTGACCGTCGTAGAGGGCCACCTGTGTCAACGCCGAGGCGGCACTGCCGCTGATGCGCGCCGCAGCGAAGCGCACGACGTTGGTGCCGGCATCGCAGATGACGCTGCCCAGGTCGGTATGCCGCACGGGGGCTTTCATCAACACATGCTTGCAACCCGTCGCGAAATCCACGCAGAGAAGGTCCGACTCGCCGCTTTCCGTCACAACCACTTCAGTATTCGTCGGGTCCAGGGTTGGTGCTACGCCCAGGAAGTTGCGTTCGAAGGCACCAGATGGTTTAAGGAACACCTCCGGTGCCGCCCACGTGTGCTCTGCGTCCTTCTTTTTCTCCACCGAGGTGGCACTCGACCCGAAACGACAGCGAACGAGCAGGCCACGCTTATCGCGCACGACAAGTCCGTTACTCGCCGGAGCTTCAGCGGCGGTGGTCGTGTCGGCCGGCTTCATCCACGCGACAGTCACTTGCGGCTGCTCGTCGTTGATGCTCAACTCAGAGGAAACAAGGCTTCCCTGCGACGGCGTAGGCACATCCACAAAGGCTTCCCAACGAGGAATCTCGTCCACCACCACAGCACCCTTCCCCGGGTGTGTACGAAGAACAGAGATGAGAACACGCTGCATCTCGAGAGACGTGCCTACGTTTCCCTGCGACGTCACGGCAATCACAGCTCCGTGAGGGGGCACAACCCGCAAAGGCGAGATGGCGGTGATGCTGGCGGGATGAGTTGCGTTGGTCGCCGTCCACTTGCACAACCCCAGTGCACGCCACTGATTGCGCGGAGGCCCTTCCTTGACGGAGTGTAGGAGCAGCCCGCTACGTGTGCCCACAAATAAGCAAAGCTTGCGCTGCGTTTCCGCGCTGCAGCACAGCCGCGCACACGTGATATCAGCTGCCTTTTGCGCCGCGGGCAGCGGCAGCACATTCACAGAGCTGATAGCAGCGTTGTCGGTGGGCATCTCTGCCACCGCGAGGGCATACCCACTCTCTTCTCTCCTCAACCCAACCACAGTCATGACGACAGCAGCGGCGCCATCAGCGACGTACGTGTCCATCACGCAACTCAACACAGGTGCTACTCCCCGATGCTGTTTCGCGACGCCCCCGGAAGGTGCGGCGGGGCTTGCGGGACGCCACACCGACACGGAGCCGTCCGCCGCCCCGATGCAGAGCGCCTTCCACTGGAGCTCCGCCGTCAAGGACAGACACACGCCTCGTATGGCCGCCGCGTGTGGCTTCACCGTCCATAGCAGCTGCAGTTCCCGTTCGGTGCCCGACGCGAAAAGAGCGTAGTTCGCCACAGTGACGGAGCCGTCCACGGAGCCCCAGATGAACTGCTTCAGCTGCGGGGCAAGTACCAGCACAACGGCGACCGTCGTGATCACGCAGGTGGCCCCGGTGCGGCGGTGGTACAGCCGAGCGCCGTCGAAGATGCTGGTGCTCACCACGATGTCGTCATCCGTCACGATGCAGTCGATAGTGGCGGCGTGCGCCTTGTTGTGCCACCGGCCACGCACGGTGGCCCGGGCAGCTGAGGCGGCCGCGGTAGGCGACGGAGGCGTGTCCTCTTCGTCCGCCGTCGGCGAAAGTAGTGGTCGCGGCTGACCGTCTCCCTCGCCCAACTCGATCACCCACTCCTGCAGATAGCCGCTGGTACTGCCCGTCAAGATGTTCTTCCTCCTCCGCACGTCCTGCAGAGGTGGCGAGGGCATCGCCGCTGTGGGCGCAGCAGGCGCATTGCTGGTTTTTCGATTCGATGTTTTGTGGCTCTCGATCGCGCTTGGGGCGCACACGTGGAGGGTAGTCGTGCTGCCGTCGGGGTCGACAGAAGAGCGCACCAGCTGCCACCTCAACTCGCTGTCGCGGCTTGGCGCGCGTCCGTTCGTCAAGCCACTGCTCCAGCCCTCTTTTCCTACCACGCTGGAGAGACGCACGAACGCTAGCACACACTTGCTGCACGCCGCGACGAGAACATCGGTGGCGATGAAGCTCAGACCGAGAACGACGCCGAGCTCCGTGGCGGGGAGCACCGCGAGAGTCTTGACAGGGTTCACACTTGCTGGCTTGGCTTGCGCATCGGGGGTTGCGCTTTCCTCAGGATCGTAGTGGTGCCTCCACAGGCGTACCGTGCCATCCAGGCTAGCTGTTGCCAACAAAACATCCGTTGTGACCACATTTTCGATGTTGGCGGGTGCCACCGCCAGTGCCGTCAGACGAGCTTCGTGCCCCCGCAACACCGTGACCGGCTGCAGCGTGAGCCGATCCCATGCGTACACGCACGTCTCATCCTCCGCGCCGGCGGTGGCAGGGGAGCCCTCCAGCGTTGTGTACACGCAGGTGGGTGTCACGACGCACTGGTTCACCGTGAAGGCTGGGTTGAAGGCGTACGAGGCAGCAAGGGCTCCGGTTTGACTGTTCCACAGCAAGAGGCGTCCCTTGTCGTGAATGGAAAAGACGTCGGGAAGAGCGCCCCGAAAAGATGTGGGCTGCGTCTTAGCGGCGTTCGTCGAATTGAGTTTCCCGGCAATCATGCTTTCCGGTGCCTTTTGTACGCCGCGTGTGGTGGCGACCAGCTGCTGAATGCCGCGTGTGCCGCCTACTGCGTAGCTTCGAGGAGCGGCGGTGTTCGTCTCTGCTTCCCTTGACACGTATGCATAGTGATCGTTGAAAGACAGCGAAGTTGCGGAAGGGGACTCGTTCACGTCGGATGTGAACTGCACCCCACGCACGCCGAACGGGCATTTCAGCACGTGCACGGCAAACTGCCCCGCCTCCATTGCGCAATGTTGATCGCTATTATTTATTAGAATATAAACGTGTGCCCGTTGTTTCCCGTAGGGCGGTTGTATACTGTACGTGGCGTTCTATCGCCACACACACGCACACTCTCTCTGGCTCTCTCTGCCTCTGTAGTTCGATGAGGGACCGGCTAAGAAACATACACAAACAGAAAGAAAAGCAAAGCAAACCACGTCAAAGTTCCTTTTTTTTTGAAGCAAACTGTTTTCTATTACCGTTGTATAAGTTTTTTTTTTTGGGGGGGGGGGGTAACGCGTGGGCACTCCACTGTGGTACGTAGATGTATCGTATCCAGTAAAACAAGTTAAACAAGAGAAACGAGAGAGCTGAAAGATTGAAAGCACGGGGTGAAGACGGAGAGCAAGTCGGGAAGGAGCGATGACGGAGTCGAAGATCGCAGCACTGCGAAGTTAAAAAGGTAAAAAAATAAACACCTCTACAACAGCCTGAAACGCTACGTCAATTGGATACCGCGCCGATATCGCTTTGCGACCTCAGCAGAAGCAGAGGCGAAACACTCTCCCTCTCATCTCGGATGTTTGAGTACAGGTATCGTTGCTGTTGTGTGCGCCAAAGGTGAAAAGGTGAAGCAAGCAGAAGAATCCGTTCCGTGAATGCCGAGGTACTACACCCGTGACGCACACACACCAGTGCCTTGCTGCCGCGCAAGCTCCTTGTGTCTTACACGTCTCTCCTCGACGGCGCCGCGGACTGCGAACGACTGGGGGGAGGGAAACTCCGACTCACGCTGCTCTGGCGCGAACGCGACGCACGTTGCGTGGAGGACGCCATCGACGCGCCGACGTCTGACCCGGTCGGCGACTGCCACGTATCGGATGTAGTTTGGGTGTGCTGTGTCAACAACGCACGCGTTAACACCACCGGTGCCCCCTCCTCGCGCATCGACTCCCGTGACGCGAGGGAGGGGAGGCGGCGCAGTCGACTTTGCTGATCCTCTGCGGACACCAAAGCGACACGGTAGCTTTCCTCTTCAAACACCGTTAAAGGCATAGGCGCTTCAACGGTGTGAAGACCACCGCCTTGTTTGTGGAAGTCGCGCCAGCCTTTTGCGATGGGTACGTATGACTGCGCATAGACGGTTCGGTGCGGATCATCGACGCGTATCGACTCCGGCACCGCTTCCGCATCCGCGTGTGGTTCGCTTTCCACGGGAGTTTTCGCCGTTGGTGAGACCTCCAGCTTCAAGAGCATCTTTGCCATGCGCGCGCGGTGGATGGGCAGCACAACCGGCGTCAGGGGGATCTTCAACGGTGGGAGCCGCGAGTGTGCGCTGTACGTCTGCAGGTCCACGTGATCCACGTACACCTGCACTCGTGCGCGGCGCCGCGGCACACGGTACACTTTCTGTCGCTGCCTTCGCTGGTGCTGCTCCTCCAGTTGCGGCTTCTTTACCGGTGCCGCCAACGACGACCGGCGGAGCAGCTGAACCTTGGCGGTGTAGACGCTGGGAAGAGCACGGTGCCACAGCACGGCGGCCCCGCCACTTTCCCCACGCGCAGATGCGAGCGGGAAAAGCGGAAACGGGCTCGACGCCGCACCCAACGACGATGCACGCGAGGACAGAGCCGACTCGTGCGCCACTCCCCGGCCACGCGGTGGCGGCCGCGCTGCTTCCATCTCGTGCGGCAGAGGGTAGAACATGTCCCCGCCGCCCGGGCGCCGCGACAAGAGCGTAGGGACGCCATTGAGAAAAATGCGGCTGTATTGATTGGTGGGTGCAATCAGCGGGGTGCACCGGAGTGTCTCGTCGATGTCGTCGTCCGCCATCCACGCTGCGGTGGAGCGGTGGGCGGCGGAGGAGAAGTGGAAGTGCACGTCCTCCAGCGCCCGCCATGGCGGTGCACGACGGCTGATCCGCGTGAGGCGCAGCTCGCACGGAACGCAGAGGTAATAATAGGGTTCGCGGGCGTCAGCGTCTCCATGGCGGCTCGCGAACACCGACCCTATGGACGAGGTGCCGACTGCTGCGGAATTGCTCTCCGTTGCCCGACTCTTTTCCCGAACGCCGTCTTCGCTGCCCGCAGAGGTCGGGCTCCCGTCACAATGCCCTTCCTCGCTGGTGCGTACCGCCACATCTACCGCGTAGGCCGCGGCGTCGTCTTCCGCGGCCAACCGACGTCGCAGACCGTGTTGCTCCAGACGCGCCAGCAGCTGCTCCACCGCCGTCGGGTGGTGGCCCTCGCCGACGTCCACCACTTCAAAGTCAACGTGCGCGTCTGCGCGGCTGGCGACGGAGCGGGACGACATAATCGCGCCGGACTGGCGCAAGCGGCTCCGCAGTCGGCTCAGGTTTGCCTCGGAGGGCATCCCGGTGCCGGTGACCAGCGTGCTTGGCCGCGACGACGGTGGCACGCTGTGCATCGACGGCATGGGAAACATGATGGTGTGATCTATTGTTTGTGGTGTTAGTAAACGTCAAGCATTCGAACCGTATACTAGCACGACTACTACTAGTGGTAGTTTTGCGTGTGACCGGTGGAGGGGGAGGGAAGTAAACCTGCTCGGATTTGTTTCCTCGGTGAGCCACTTCATTTGCTCTGCAACGCGTGCACCACCAAAGAAACAAAAAAAGAGATGAGTGGTGGTAACAGCAGCATAATCGTGGGAGAAAACAACCAAGGAACCGGAAAGCGAATTCGAGAGATCTTAATGAAGATACATTGCGTGTGTGCGCGTGCGTTGCTGCACGACTCTCAAAGTCGAGTCTTTGTTAACTCCCTTGAGCAGCGCGATCTTTCTGCAGAACCAAAGTGCCGACGCCAATTCAGTAGCAGAGTGACTCCTACGCGGTTCTGGCGTTTTCAAACTCTCACCGACTCACAAAAGAAGCTTGCGAGAGCGACGTTCGCATGAAGAAGCAGCGCTTGAAAAAAAAAAGGAGAGAAGAGCCAAAATGGTCAAAAACCCGTGTCACAGAACGTAGGGATGAATGGATTTTACGTTCCAGGTTATATATATATATATATATATATATATATATATAGTAAG